TCCAATGGGCACCTACCAGATCTCACCTCCTGTGACCTCGGCAACCCCACACTGAGGCCCTAGCTACCTGGGTTCTGAGATCAGTCTCTTCTGCTTCTCTCTGCATGCCCTGGTTTCCTTCCACATTTATTTGTGGCTCCTCTTCCTTTCATTAATCCTGAAATCAAGAATGCAACAGGAAGATGGCCAGAATGTGGGTGATGTATGACCCATGCAGTATAAAAATGAGAGGCTTTCATAGTTAAAATGGAGTTGATATCCTCTCCTGAAAACAGGAAGCTCTGGAAGTTCTGTTCCATCTTCTTGCAAGTCGAGCAGACATCTCTGTAGGGGAAATCCTCTGCCCCTCCTCCCCTTACTGCATTTGAGCTTATGCTCCCTGCCAGAATTCAGATCTTCCAGAGCTCTTCGCTCAATCTTTCTCCTCTCACTTGATATATTCTCCCTTGAATGGGGTGTTTGGATGTGTAACAGTATCAACAACTCAGTCTTGCCCAGTCCCAGGGCTTCCACTGCTGGATTTTTGTGGCCACTTCACAGTGACACAAGTCACCACCCCTTTGTGTCCTTAGCATGGACAACTCCCAGAAGGATTATCTCATGGGCTTGTGATTGCCTCTGTATGTACATGGTGTAAATCCCATCAAAGTATCTCCCGTCCTCTGATGTCCTTCTACCTTGGGCTGTTAACCATGTCTTCAATATTGATACATTCTTGATTTCACCATAAGCCCATTGAACAAAACCATTTTGGAGAAAACCAGTCGGGGTTATTCTCTTTATATAGCTTGTGGGCAGAACAGGAATCTTCACTTTATTGGACGACCCCTCCATCTGGTTCCACATAACCATCGTCATTATCAGAATGTAGGACACTGTCATGCATGTTTCATAGTTCTTTCAACTGGGAATGGCCACGAACCCCTCTATCCGATTTTGTCTGCTGTGGAATTGTAAGCTAATAGTTTGTCATAGAATTACATTCGAATGGTTTGCATTGGTTAAGCACTCACACTGTCTTCTTTGCTGTGGCTCTAAACTTCAAATGCTGGATTCTCAATTGAAGTGTATAGATATATGCATATTGTATACCATGACACATCTCAATACATTTGCCCTTCAAAAATGGTGCTGCAGGTAGCCAAAGCTGAAGAAAGACCTGTCCTCAGGGGAATGCACACCTGTGCTCAACAACAGCTGTTTTAATCTCGGCAGAAGGCTGGTTCACCTTTTTTTGAACCTTCTACCATTTAGCTACATACCCAGTTCCTGGTCTTATGTTCTTTAATTATAATTATAACAACCAATATGAATAGAGGATTTGACTACTTCTCTCTGTACTTGCAGACATTTTTGTTATCTGAAAGAGACACCAAAGTAAACTTACTAGATTTCCATTATTGATTCTTGCCAATGCACAATTTAATTCAACAAGTTTTTGAAAACTGGCAGGCCTTCTAAAGTAACCATCACCATGTCCACCACCATCATCATCACCATTAACATCAACATAATCATATCCACAATTATCTCTATTATTATCAACATGTCATTTACTATCTCCGTCATCATCACCATCGCTATTTATCATCCTTATTGCCTTTATCATCATGATCACCATGGAGATCTACTGTAGCTCCAAGACAGGCTGCCACCTTTGCTTCAGGAACAAGTGGCAAATAACCCTCATGCTAGCTTCTAATAAATATTTTCTTGGTCATTCTCTGTCAAATGTAGCCTTTCCTTCTCTCCTTGACTAATTCAAATTAAATTTCATAGAGAAAATTATGAGTCAAAGGAAAGGAAATGAATAAAAATTCATTAATTCATCCATTCATTCACTTGACATCTGTAGAGACCTGCCATCTACCAAGCACAATGCCAGATTCCAGGAATCAAGACATGGCTAATATTCCTTCCCTGACCCCCATGGAGCATGCAAGTTTAGAAGCATTTTTGATATGTCTGACAAATGCTGTGAGGGAGAAGGCAGCTAAGAAGGACTCCTAGCCAGTGGAGATGACAGTAAAAATGATGCTGATGGAGATGGTGGTGATGGAGATGATGATGATGATGATGATGATGATTGACTGAATGATAGTGATAGTGATGATAGTGATGGAGATGATGATGTAAATGATGATGATGATGATAGCGATGATAGTAATGGAGATGATGATGATAGTGATTGAGATGATGATGATGATGATGATAGTGATGACAGTAATGGAGATGATGGTGATGGAGATGATGATGTAAATGATGATGATGATGATAGCAATGATAGTAATGGAGATGATGATGATAGTGATTGAGATGATGATGATGATGATGATAGTGATGATAGTAATGGAGATGATGATGATGATAGTGATGGAGATGATGATGTAAATGATGATGATGATGATGATAGTGATGATAGTAATGGAGATGATGATAGTGATTGAGATGATGATGATGATGATCATCATAGTGATGACAGTAATGGAGATGATGGTGATGGAGATGATGATGATAGTGATGGTAGTGATGGAGATGATGATGATGATAGTGATGGAGATTATGTAAATGATGATGATGATGTGATAGTGATGATAGTAATGGAGATGATGATAATGATGGTAAGGATAGTAATATATATGATGGTGGTGGTGGTGATGGTGATGATGATGCAGATGGTTAAATGATTGTGGTGATGATGGTGTTGATGATGATAGCTGTCGTGGTCATGACTATGGCAGCGATGATAGTAATGGTCGTATTGCACCTGTGTTGCAAACACTGTGCTCAATATTATTGCCTCCATCTTACCCATGAAGCAAATAGTCCTCCAAACATTAAATCATTTGTGTAGAATCTCACAAGCGGGCAAGAGGTAAAACCTGGATTTAAGAGAAAGTCTGTCACCAGAACTGGTCCTCACTCTATTCTACAACACTGATCTTTTCTTATTGCACCTGTGTTGCAAACACTGTGCTCAATATTATTGCCTGCATCTTACCCATGAAGCAAATAGTCCTCCCTCCAAACATTAAATCATTTGTGTAGAATCTCACAAGTGGGCAAGAGGTAAAACCTGGATTTAAGAGCAAGTCTGTCACCAGAACTGGTCCTCACTCTATTCTACAACACTGATCTTTTGGAAGGTTTACATGTTTGTTTACTTAGAAAATACTTATTGAATGCTTACTACGTCCCAGTTATATTCTTGGCACTGAGGAATGTAGTGGTGAATGAATGAACGCATTCTTGTCTCCCAGGAACTTAACACTGGAGAGGGGAGACAAGTGATAAACAGATACAGAAGTGAGGCGTGGTGTATCTTATGACTAAAAGCATTATGGTGAAAGAAGGGAGAGATAGAGCAATAAAAGCACGGAGTGGATGGAGGTGTGAACAGTCTCTCTCACTTCTATTTCCGACACTCCAAGCTCTGGGCTGTGGGTGGAGTCTCAAAACGCTCCATCATTTGGACAGTCTTCCAATGAGTCTCTTGCCCTGAGCTTCTTCACTTAAACCCTACCTCAGAAGTCCTGGTCCCAGTATGGCCATATCCACAGGGAAGCTTGGAGAGATCACAGAGCACAGCTGTGAGCAGGAGGCCAATGTCTGCTGCTGGTGATGGATGGAAGGCAGTGATGGTGATAAAACAGGCAGCAGGGAAGTATCGATCTGTGAGGGAGGCAGAAAGTCTCTGCTTCCCATCCACTCATGAGGAGTTTAATGAAAATGATCATTCATACTCAGGTTTATTACTGAGCCTGTGTTCTGACTGGCAACTGGGTGACTGCCAGCTGTCTCCAGCCCAGCTTCCTGGGTTGTGCTTTACAAAACATCTCTGTCGGACTTGGACTTGCCCATAGCCAGAAGGTGATCTGCATTTTCTCCAAGTGCTCCAGATGGACAGGAAGCTTAGAAAGATAGAATGTTCTGACTTCAAAGGGAATCAGTGCCCCCCAGTTCTGACTCAGCCCACCAGCCTCAGACATGGGGCAGCAAGGGCCTGCAATCCGACAACGTTATCAGGAGGATGAATGATGGCAAATTTGGGTTTCTTTTTTATCCTTTCACTTATGTCAGAATGGCCCATCCCACAACCAAGGTCAAGGTCAACTCTGGAGATGTTTCCAGTAAACCGCCCCGCCCTCCCCCGGACTGCCCTGCTATGTGAACAGCCAAGAAATGAACCTGATCTTTTAATAGAGTGTCACATCTCTTGGATTCCACCTCTTTGAAGGGGGCTAGGGGAGAATGATTCAAAATGGGGAGAGAGCATCCAGTATACCCACACCCCTCACCTTCCTTGCCTGAAGGAGTTCTGGCTGCATCAGTTAGTTCCAGGATATTCCACCAGATGGCGCTCATGAAATACATCACATGCTAATTTCTGACCAAAGGACATTTTACAACATTAATACCAATAGTAATTAACATGCATTATGCCCTTACAGAGTGCTGGGCATTATTAGGTTAAGTGTTTTTACATGCCTAGTGAAAGTTAAAGGACGGGCTCTGCAGCCAGCTTGAGTGGGTTCTGGTTGTAGCTCTCACTGTCAGGGCCTTGGGCACGTATTCTGTTGAGCCTCAGTTTCCTCATTTATAAGATTGTACATCTACCTCATAGAATGGTTGAGAGAAGCAGCTGATTAATACGAGCAAAATGCTTTTGAAAATTCTAAGCTGTACATAACCAACTGTTAAGAATCTCTTAACTCAGATAATTTCACAAAGCAGCAATTATGGTTGTCCTTATTCCCATAAAAGAAAAGTAGAACTTGGAGAGATTAAGTTATCCCAAGTACATTGTTTCCAAAGTCTGAGGCCCAAACTCCCTAATGCCCATCTCTCAAATAGTTCACATTCCTGTCCCATTTCGGCAACCTGTGTCCTAACAACGAGCACAGAAAGCCCAGAGCTCCCAGTCGAAACCAAGGTCCACTCAGAAAGGGAGGATGGAGAAGGAGGCTCTGGCTAGTCTATCTTCATGCCGCTTCTTTCAGACGATCCATCCTCGAAGCAGTCCGGGAACTTGGCTGAAGAGCTGGGCAAAGCTGTGGAGATCTTCGGCAAGGGCAAGAATGGGCTGGGCTTTGGCAAAGTAGACATCACAGTGGAGGAGGAGCTGAAGCAGGAGTTCAACATCAAGAAGGCCCCAGATTTGAAACTGTTCTTCGAGGGCAACAGGTCAGAGCCCATCAGCTGCAAAGGTAACAGTGGGTTAAGTTGATTGCATGCTCATGGGAAGCCTCTTGGCAGTCTGAGGTTGGAGGTGGGAGGCTCTGATCCATGTGGCCTCTTAGGAAGGCAGGCTCTTTCCAGATTGTGGCTCCATCTCCCTTAGAGTCCTGAAGTCGCCTGCTCTTTCCTGGACATCCAGAAGTAGGAGCTGTCTGTGGGTGGTGCACACGGCTGGGAGACAGCAAAAGCTCTTCTATTTGCAGCCCACTGACTGGAATTCAGATACATGGTCCTACTCAACTGCAGGAAAGGCTGAGAGATAGGGCTCAGCTCTGGGTCTCCAAGGAAAATGGGACTTGATGAGCATTCCGTTGATTCTACCACAACCTCTCAGCTAAGGGGTGGGGAACACAATTTTTAAACTACCACACCAGAGATTCTTTCTCTCTTTGCCCCAGTACTCTACTTTAGAATGCTTCAACAAGGCCTCAGGCCAGAGAACTAGTAGGCCAAAGACAGACTAGAAGGTAGTGGAGGTGGGGTGGGGGGCAGCTCAGTCAGTAAAGCCCAAGAATTTGAGTTCAATCCAGAGAACTCATAAGAAAAATGCTTGGCATAGTGGTACACGCTTGTAATCCCAGCACTAGGAAAATGGAGGCAGGCAGATTACTGGGACTAGCTGGTCAGCCAGCTTAGGCTATTCGGTGAGTTCCAGGTCAGTGAGAGACCCCGTTTCAACAAACAAAACAGGACCCCCGAGGTTGACCTCTGGCCTTCACATGTACCACATACACATACACATACACAGGGGTGGGCATTTGGGAGATGATGGAGCAAAACAAGTTTGCTTTAACTTGTATCTTACTTTAGTCATTTGATTTATTTGCTGACAGACATATTTCTGTACACCACACCCGCTTACTGACAGCTTACCATATGTCAAGCTTTATCTCGATGTTGAAAATGTTTGGAGAATTATGTATCTTAGTTTGTGGCATGATAATCTTAATTTTAAAAGGTTTTCACATATGAACGCTCACATGGATACAGAATAGATGGGTGGATGCGTAGACTGATGGGCAGATGGATAGACAAGTTGCTGGACGGGTAAATGATGGATGTTATAAAACTGGTGAACCTAAATGAACCCAGCATATGACTGGTGATGTGGCTCAGTGGTAAAGGCACCCACTGACAAGCCTGAAGACCGAGTTCAATCTCTGGGACTCACATGCTGGGAGGAGAGAACCAACTCCTGAAAATTGTTCTCTGTCCTCCACACACATGCTCTGACACATATGAGCCCTACAATTAAATATATAAATTTTACAAAAGAAGTCGGTGCATCTTCTATCATGCCAGTAAATGGTGTCATTGTGTGTGTTGAATGACAGACTTCAGAAAACAGAGACTGCCTTTTATTGCGTTTGACATTTCTGAAACTCTCCTTAAGTGAGCACAAGAAAAGCCCAGGAACGAAATGACCCGAACAAGTTCACCTCAGGAGATTGAGAGCGGAAGGGGCTTTGTGTTTATAACCAGCTTCCAGTAAACCTGATGAAATAATATTGCAAGAACCACAGGGGTTGGGAAGAACTTCCAAGAGCTGCATGGCACCCTGCAGTTTTCAGAACAGACACAAGAGGGCATAAGAGGCATAGGACAGGCTGCCTGGGGACGATGCTGTGAAGGGACAATCTCAGTTACATAACAGACCTGACAGGCTTTCAGCACCCTGCAGGCCAGAGCAAGGTCAGTGTTGAATGGGAGGGGGAAAGAGGAGAGATGTGGCAAGAGAGAGATAGGGACCTGCTTCCTACAGGTACTAAGGAATGACCCTCAACAATCGGGACCCATCCAACCCAAGTCCCTTGTGATGGTTGGCTTCCAGGAGAACGGTGAAGAAACGAGAAGCCCTGGGTTACTTTGTCAAGCCCACATCTACCCATGGGGTAGATTAGGTGTTTGTTTGCCCTTCCCTGTTGAAGGTCAGTTGAGACCTGATTCCATCAAGAGGTGACAAGGTGATTGTGTGACAACTTCCACACTACATATGAGGTTGGCAGAAAAGGTCTTCAAGGCCTTCTGAGTTCCTTGATGATGACAGTGAGTGTCTAGGACCCCTTCTGCCGTGCAGAAGTCTTCACCATCTCCTTCGAGAAGTCTGCTCTGACTGCTTAGGGCATGCAGCCCGTTCTGTGTCTGTGGTCCCACAGTACCTGTGCTTTCCTGTCAAGGCCTTACCTCACAGAATGATATAGTCTGCTTAGTGTCTTCCGAGAACACCACAAGGGCCAATCCCACATGCATCCCTGGGTTCCCTGAAAAGGAAGCACGCCCTCTGTATCCAAATCCTCCCGACCTGCCTCAGTAGCAGTCACTTCCTCTTGACCAACCTCAGTTTCATCATCTCTAAATGGGGCATGGGGTTGTGGAAATTCCCTTCTAGGGCTGTTGGGAAGATGAGGCAATGCTTTCAAGGGACAGGGCCTGGCACATTCGTGCAGCGGTACTGGTTTCCAGGTACTTCTTACATTTCACAACAGCCCAGCATAGGTGGTAGTTTTATATATGGAGCACAGGAAGGTAGAACAACTGTCTCAAAGCACCTCTGCTGTACCTGGTGGAATGGCTCAATGGGTAAAGGTGCTTGCTGCCAAGCCTGACAACCTTAGTTCTATCTGCGGAACCCACATGATGAACAAGTTGTCCTCTGACTTTCACATCTGTTTTCTGACCTCCATGCATGTACTGTGACATGTACCCACATGCATACACAAACACCTTTGTGTGCACGTGCCTGTTTGCACAGTTAATAGGTGAAAATATTGAATTTTGAAAATTTTTTTCTGTTTTAAAATTTTTTAATTGAATATTTGCAATTTTTAAACAATATAATTTGATGGTATTTAGAGCCTCCCCCCATCTGCACCTTTGCCCACTGCCACCTGCCCAATTCAGTGTACTCCACTATATATACAACATGGCCCTATAGGGTCTTATTTGTGTCCACACATGTCCCTCAGTGTGGGTCTATTCACTGGAGCCTGATCAACTTACCAAGAGTCTCATCCCTGTAGAGACTGTCTCTCCCCCTTCCAGCAGCCATTAGTTGCCAAAAGTTCCTTAGGTTGGAATGGAATTTCATACCCACTTCTCAGTGCCTGTGCTGGGATTTTGTCTGGTTTGAACTTGCATGGGACTTGTGCATGGTATCACTGTTGCTGTGAATTCATATGTGTAACTGACCAGGTGCCTGGAAACTTGTTTCCTTGCAATCATCCAATACCTCTGGCTCTTACAATCTTTCCACTCCCTCTTCCACAGTGATCCCTGAGCCTTGGGAGGGATCTCAGCCTCTTGTTCTCTGCACCATGGCCTTTTGTGGGTTTCTGTGTTAATCATTGTCTGCTGCATAAGGAGACCACTCTGATGAGAGTTGAGAGGTGCATTCATCTTATGTGTAGAGACTGCATTGAAGATGTGTCACTTAGAGATAAGTGTCTCACAGACAATTTTTCTCTGCATTTGACCAGTTGTGGAACTCTGTGTTGCCTCCATCTGTTTCAAAAAGAAGCTTTTTTGATGACTGTTGAGAGAGGTACATTTCTCTATAAATATGAGGATGTATATTTAGAATACAGTAAGAAATTACATTGGTCTAAGGCTGTGGCAGATGTAGGTTTTTCTCTAGAATCTATGACCTTTCCAGCCATGAGTATTTGGCTATGCTTACAGTATCACACATAAGTTCCCTCTCAGTGAGTGGGCCTTAATTTCAATTAGGCAGTTGTTGACTACCCCTAAGATAAAAGTGCCACTACTACACCATAGCAGTAGTTTGTCGGGCCAGTAACTGTTGTTTATTAGAGCTGGGTAGGAGCATTGATTGGTTTTCTCCCTTGGCAGTTTGCATAGTATCCTCTGATATCATGGGAGCTGGTCTTCAAGGAGGACGCTTCCAGGTCAGTTCCAGCTCGATTGCTTAAAGTTCTGTATCCAAAGCATAGCCTGTCTTCAGCAAAGAGTCTTACCTACAAATTTGGGGAGGAATCAAGGGCTGTGGCATAGCCTGTTATTTTTGGACTCTTTTGGACTGCCATAACCAACAACTCGAAGGGAGGTTTCTCCTGCCTGGCACTGTTTTTTGTAACATAGCCTCAGCTTTACATATATACTCATATATATATGTATATATATACTATATATATACACACATATATATATATATATATGCTTCAGTAGGACTTTGAACTAATATATTTCCCTCTGTTTTTTTTCATACTATCAAAGCGTTATTCACATCATCTCTAAACCCCCCTGTGTAATCCTCCCTACTCCTTCCCCAGCTGACGTACCCCTATTTTCCTCACCTCCCCCTTGATAACACCTGTCTCCTACTATTCGCCCCTACCCTTGAGGTCCTTCTTCCCCTTCACCCCCATGGTTCATTTATATTTACCTGACTTCTGCAGTTATATCAGGTTGTATATGCACATCTAGGGATTTGGAGCTAAAATCCACAAATGAGAGTGAACATATGTTGTTTGTTTTTCAGAGTCTGTGTTACTTCTCTTACTATAACAGTTTCTAGTTCCATCCATTTACCTGCAAATTTTGTGATTTCATTTTTGTTTATGGCTGAGTAGAGCTCCATTATGTAAATGTACCACATTTTCATTATCCATTCATCAGTTGAGGGACATTTATTTCCATTGCTTAGCTATTGTGAAAAGAGCAGCAACAAATATGGCTGCACATGTACCCCTGTAGTAGGATGAGTTCTTTGGGTATGTGCCAGGGAGTGGTATAACCGAATTATATAGTAGATTTGTTTTTAGTTTTTACAGAGTTTTCCATTCTGATTTCCACAGTGGTTGTACCAGTTTGCAATTCTGCCAACAGTGGATGAGGGTTCGCCTTTCCCTGAATCCAAGGCAGCATTTGGTATCATTTGTTCTCTTGATCTTAGCCATTCTGACTGAAATTAGATGAAATCTTAAAGTGGTTTTGATTTTTATTTCCCTAA